CATTTCTTCATAAATTGCTCTTACAGAAGAGGAGCTGATATAGTGCATATACATATGAAGTTTGCCATTTCTATTTGCATTACTGTACTTTATAGCAGAAGGAAAGGATTGTTGCGGTCACGTTTCTCAAGCACTTGTGTGGGATTCATCCAGATTTTTTTTGGCACTCTGAATGTTTCCTCTTGTCACCAGTAAATGGACCAGATGGGCCACTCAGACATTTGCATGTGGTGGCTGTTCTTGTGCAAGTGACATGTGAGCTGAAATTAGTTTTAAAGTAGAGTGAAAAGCCATATTAATTTATTGCAGAGCAGAATTCTTTCTGCAGTTCAGTATGTCTTTCTCTTTGAAATGAGAAAGCCTTCTATAGCGAGCCTTTTCCGATTGGAGTTTGCACTTTTCTTTTAATTACTGAAGAAAGACTCATGATTTCAGGGGTGTATATGTAGAACACATTTAATTTAAAAGCTAGCAAACATGAAATAAATGACTGTACTAAAATTTGCAATTTGTTCTTAGCACAACCAATTCATGTAAACATAGAGTTGTCCTTGACATTATTCAGACTGGCATTCTTACTCAGAAGTAAGTGCCTTTAATTTTCAGTAGGATTTAGTCTCAAGTAAGTATCCTCTGTTCGTTGGCCCTCCAGGGCAACTGGATGGCCACTGTGTGAAACTACTAGCTGGACTAGATAGACTGCTGGTTAGCCGGGCTCTTCTTATGTTCTTATACTTGGTTTGCAGCCTTAAAGGGTATTGTGACAGGCTGCACTTTTAAAAGCATAGAAGTGCTGTATAAACAGCTGAAGGACTGTGAAGGGTTAATTCTGCACAGAAACAAAGAGCCCTATTTCAAGAGATATTTCAAGCCAAACCCTTTTTTTGTTTAATTTCAAACATTTCTATACCGCCTTTCCACCCAAATATGGTCCCCAAGGCAGCAAACATCAGACAAGTAAAACGTTTCAACATTAAAACAGTATTTAAAATAAAGTATACATTTAAAACTTCAATAAAAACATATAAACCCATATAACACAATAACCAGTGAGTGTTGGACTGGAGGGGCCATTGGCCTGATCCAGCATTGGCTTCTCTTATGTCTGGGGCAAGGGATGCTCTGTATTCTTAGTGCTTGGGGGGGG